CGGTTTAGCCGCACACTACTTTTATGCCGACCATTTACATCCAAATGTTATTTAATTTTCACAGAAAACAACCTTTAAATAGATTTTAGAATATAAACTGTTTATCGTCTATTCAATAAGACTAAATTAAAAGTCCAACAAATGTCTGTTTTAAAAACAGTGGATGAGTAATTCACTCCTTGATTTGATTAATAAAAGCCTCCTTTGAGATCGTTTTGACAGACATGTTTATTGTGCATTTTAAACGTGTTTATTGCTAAGTTTAGTGTGGCAAAATAGAAGCGCAGCCGTAATTCGTGGGCAATGTATGTGGTTACCATGACAACCTCACGCACTTGCCACTGCTCTATGTGAATATGTAGATTTACTATAGCAAAACTAAAATGTGTTTAAAAGTGTGTCTGACCAAATCCACTGGTTCGGTTTGGCCCCCCCAAACTCAAACGTCAAGCTACGCCTATGCGTACTACTGGAATTCGTGATTGGTTGACAGCAAATTTCAAATATTAAATGGAACGATAAAATAACGTTATTAACCGGTTAATGGCCATTTCAAATTTTCGATTCTGTTCGGAACTATAAAGTTTGATTTCGTTTCTGTTTCTGGTTCTGTTCCTGTCAAAATGTCGTTCGTTTCCGTTTTCGTTCCTTGAACCGGTTCAGAGCCATGGTTTGCAGTGTCAACAAAGTTCTGCTTACCTGAATGCCATCTTCTTCATAAGGTGGGCGTCCATTCTGTCAGGCAGGTTGTTTTCCAACTGAGAACTTGCCACTGGATCACCGAAGACTGTAGAGAGGTGGCTGTTCTTGGAGCGGCTTTGCGTTTCCATAGAGTCCTTCAGATTATATAAGCAATTAGACTCTAAACAACCCAATGCAATCTAGGTTTTCAAGACTGAGTCTAAAAGTTACCTCAGAGTTGCAGTCCGGTGTCTCTGTGTCCTCCATGTCCAGAGCGGACAGCTCCAGCTCGATGTCTCTGTCAGGCTCACTCTCCATCCCATCCTTGTCCAGCAGATCTGTGCCCTGCTTTGACCCGCTTCTCAAGGAATTGTGCCTTACATGCAGCCCTGACATGGCCAGCTGATCGCTGAAACACACAGACACACACTGAGCTCTGAAACCAAACCAAAGCTAAGAACACAAATCAGTCGGTTCTGTTGTTTGGTGTTCTCAGACTAGAAACTCAGTATTGAGATCAGGTGAGAGGTGTTCTCCCACTCAGAATCTGCCCTATGAGTAATCATCATTGACACCAAAAACAATGTTATATTATTAGAGCACATAACAGGGAAAAATAGGAGATTTTTGTAGGTTAAGCTATAAAATTTTTATAAATAAATTTAAGGAAAATGTATATATGTTTTATTTTTTTAAATAACTGTATATATACACACTGTTCAAAAGTTTACATCAGCATTTTTATTTTAATTTTTACTTTTATTTAGCAAGAACTCATTAAATTGATCAAACATTACAGTAAACACATTTATAATGTTACACAAGATTTTAATCTCAAATAAACGCTGTTCTTTTGAGCTTTCAATTCATCCTGAAACAAATTTATCACGGTTTACACAAAAATGCACACACACACACACACACACACACACATTTTCTTGAGCAGCAAATCAGCATATTAGAATTATTTCTGAAGGCTCATGTGACACTGAAGACTGGAGTTATGATGCTGAAAATTCAGCTTTACTATCACAGTAATTAATTATATTTTACAATATATTAATATAGAAAAAGAGTTATTTTAAACTCTAATAATGTTTCAAAACATCGCTGTTTTTACTGTATTTTTGATCAACTAAATGCAGCCTTGGCGAGTATAAGAGACTTCTTCCAAAAACTAATAATGCATCCTTATAAATAAATGTATATATTAAATTAAATTATATATAAAAATATATTATACATATTAAAAACTCAAAAGCATGTTAGTTTTGCCCTGGTATCGACAACAGAGGTCATTTAAATAAGTAAGCATCAGGCTGAAAAAAGTATCACTGGTGCAAGAGACATTGATTAAAATAATTATTTAGATTTCAGAAAAAATACTCAACAATTGTGTAGAATATTGTACAATAATTTAAGATCACAAAATGAATTTCAAGACATTATATATAACTAGTAATACACATTTGCTTATTTCAGATATGTGTAGATGAATTGTAGCAGGCAGATATGGACTTGTGGGTGTTAAGGAGACTCTATGAAATGTAAGCCCTCATTGCAGTGTGTAAGAGCTTTGCAAACACAAATGAGAGGAGCTATGTTCCGGCTGCTGCTCTATTTTTAGAATGGTACAGAGGACAGCCAGACGACTACAGCGGGATGGGGTGGGGGTGAAGACGGGGAAACACTGTGAAGTCTACTGCTACAATGTTCCTAACAGTCCAGTAAAATTAATGTACAAGTGACATTAATAATAATTTGTACATGCATTACTACTATGTGGTTGCTAAGGTGTTTAGAGTGGTTACTAGGTGGTTGTTTACTGGCTCAAGTCAACAGGACCCACACCCAAGTCTCTATATATTTCAGTCTCTATATACAGTATGGCTCAGATGTCTATGGGATTTTTGTTGTTGTTGTTGTTTAACACTAAGCATTTGCATTTAGAAATGAAGTTTCTACACAAGACGTCTCAGTTTGAACTGGTACCTTTCTAAAAAGCTGGAGTGACTAGAAGAATCAGATCCACGTGGGCCCCATCTGAGGTCACTGTGACCAATATGACAGCTATAGTCTGTAAAGAGAATGGAACATGAATCACTCTCAAAGCCAAAGAAATTCAGAGTCAAAAGTATAGAATATGAATTCTAACCTCTGAAGTTGATTGGTGTGGTGCCGGTGCACCTCTGCGATGCAGTAGCCTGGAACGGGTCAGTGGTGTGAAAGCCAGTGCGGGAAGCCCGAGAGATGGCTCCCCATTTAGAGATGATGGGCCCCTCTCCAAAAGGAATGATGGGATCTTCGTCTTTCAGTCGTCTGTAGGGCTCAAACATGTGCAGCCACCGTTTGCCGCCACTCTCCCCGTGCTGAGGACAGATAATTAGATCTCAATTAGGAATCATATCACAATCACACTTATGAAGCACTGCTTTGTGCGATAAACTGGTCACTTATCATAACATGTGAAAATGTGCTATTTAATTTTATAAAAGGGTATATATAAATGAGTCTGTATTACAGTCACACTCAAATTACAGTGAAGTGACTCCAGTTCTACATGCTACACATTCATTTTGATTGTTTGAAAGAATTATTATAGTTTTACAGGGCAAAACGATTTACCAGTCAATCACTCTGAATGTAATGTGAAGTCACTCAACTTGTACCTGTAGCTCAAACAGTTAAATGTGGTGTGCACATTTGTGGTATTTTTTATCAAGTTTGAGGGAATCATTTGGAATATGTTACTGAGCAAGCCAGTGTAAGAGAGAATCGGTGTGAATGTGTTCTGAAGTGACTCCATTTGTATCTGCTAAGCATTCATTTTTCAATCAGATTGAGTTAATGTATAGGTAAGTGTTATAAAGTAAAACTAGCCATAAAGCAGTGTATATACAAAGCGACTTCACTTGTACATGCTACACATTAACTTTTAATTCAGTTTGAGAGAATTAACAGTAATGTGTTACGTGTATGGTAACAAATTTAAATTGATTTAGATTTTAATAAATCTAAAGTGACTCCGCTTATGCTACACATTTATCTTGATTCAGTTTGACAGAAATAATGGGAATATGTAACTGAGTAAGCTGATTAAGTTTGTATCATTGTGGATTCTATCTGAAGTGACTCCACTTGTACTCTCTACACGTTCATTTTTAATTTAGTTTGAGATAATTAATAGTAATGTGTTATATCGTATGCAAATTTAAAAGAAAACCAGTGTGAATCTTAAGTGACTCCACTTGTACCCTCTACATGTTCATCTTTAATTCAGTTCAGTTAATTCAGAATCAATAGCAATCTGTTAAAAATAAGCACATTTAAAAGTCTTTCAGTGTAAATGTAATCTGAAGTGACTCCACTTGTACCATCTATACATTCAGTGTTGATTCAGTTTGAGGGAATCAATAGGAATATTTTAAAGAATAAGTACATTTAAAAGTATTCCAGTGCAAATTTGATCTGAAGTGACTCCACTTGTACAATCTACATGTTCTTTATTGATTCAGTTTAAGATAAATAATAGGAATCTGATAAAGAATGACCTAATTTTAAAGTATTTCAGTGTAAATTTGATCTGAAGTGACTCCATTTGTGTCTTTATACATTCACTGTTGTTTCAGTTTGAGGAAATCAACAGGAATCTGTTAAAGAACAAGCACATTTAAAAGTATTTCCTGTTAATTTGATCTGAAGTGACTCCACTTCCACCATATTCATTCATATTCATTTTGATGGCCTTCAAAGGAATCAATAGAAATGTGTTACAGAGTAAGCCGTTATAAAAGTAAATGAGTGCAATTGCGTTGTGAAGTGACCACTTACTAGCTGTTTGGAACAGGAGTGGGTTGACAAATGGTGGGGCTCTGACTCAAATGGGCTGATGGTGCTGCACGACCAGGGCGAGTAGTGGGCAAGACTCTCTTCTCCACCATGACACTTACAAGTCATACGCCCACCACCTACACCCTCAGGATGCTAAAGGAGGAGAAAGAGTAAGATGACAACATTCTATCTCACACCCACCATGTGCAACAGGCTGCCAGATTCAAATAAATGGGGGTGGAAAGAAACAATGTAAAGTGACTCAGCCTCCGTGGTGCCAAATCTTTCTCTGAGAGTTCATGCGTTTCAAAGCGCTTGTGCGCACACACACAGTTTTCAGGACAGAACTGCTTCTTGCTTTGGATTTATCAGTTGCTGAGCAACAGACCCACTTAAAATAGCTTAACACACCTCAGAAGGGCGACAGCAGCTTCGGTGCCAAAGTTATTAATTGAAGAAACAACAAATCTGATTTAATTCAGCTTTAGCACGGTGCAGACATGTGGTGTACTTTTCCCATGACACACACCTCTAAAAACACCATATCGGTGGGCCGTACCTCTGGACACACATCCACAGTGAAGACCGGCGAGGACTGGGAGGGCCTGTTCATGTTGCCGTGGTGATGTACCCACTGTTCCTGTTTGTGGCGATAGAGTTCCTCATAGCCGAGAGGAACACGGGTGTACACATCCTATACAAAAGATGGAAAATGGCTTTTAACTTCTCCATTCTCATGATGACTTAGTCACCTATTTTACATTTAAAAGTGAAGTGTGAAATTTCTGAGCAACAAACAGCGTGAAAATAATGACTTTATAAAAACAAGTTTCAAACATTCCCCTGTCTTCCATTGCTCAGAGAGAAACAGGGAGACAGAAGCAAACTCACGCCTTTGATTGAGACTATGTTTTTTTCTAGCTAGATAAACACACAGATTGCAATTCCATTTGGAACCACTAGTGGCAGAGAAATGACACAATTCACCTTTAAGCCTAAAACCTACATTTACACGTAACCAGGTCAAGTTTCCATATCAATTTACACAGAGAATTCTGAACAAAGCAACAAAACCATATCTAGCCAGGATATTAAAATGTATATACATAATCGAATATTTATAAATAAATAAATAAATAAAGATAAATAGATAATAATGTTGTGACCGATACCCAAAAATTATATTAAAATTTATAATACTATAAATACTATACTCTACTATTTATACTATACTATTTGTCAAAATGAATCAAAGATAAAACACAAACAAATTAAATTCAATCATTTTAAATGTTATACATGAATTTAGGCATCACAGCATTATAATGTACAGTAAGAAAAATGGATATTCATTTTAAGATTTGATAAAGATTACCTTTGAAATGTAAAATTGTAAGTTTAAGTACAGCTCAAATAAAATAATATATAAATATTACATGAAAAAAAAATTAAATGATTACATTATTTTATTATATTATTCTATAGAAATGAAACTGCCTTGGCAACTAAATAAAATAAGTTGAAGTACTAAAATTACTAAAACTAGAACTGAAATAAAGTTATATTCAAAAAATGAACAAAAAAAGTTTCCTTTGCATTTATTTTATACTTTTTTATATTAGGGTTTTTCTTTTTTAATTTAGTTCTGTGCTATCTAGTTCCTTGTTTTTTGAGCTCCTGCCTTTTAGTTTAGTTTAGTTTTTGTTTTTCCCCTTCCCGCTTTTTGCTCCCCAGCTCCCCTCCAGCTCTGGCTGCTGGACTCCCTACTGCCTGCCACCTCCCTCCCATCCCTTGCTGTCCTGCGCTACCTGCTTCCCTGCCCTTCCTGTTCCATCCATCCAGCTGCTCTGCTAATATCAGTCTTGTCCACCAGCCTCAGAAGATTCCAGTTAAGTCAGCCTTCACTCTCCTGGAACCACTCTCCCTCTCTCTCCCACCATCGCCATTCCCTGTGCCCTGGGGTTCATTGGAGAGCTTGTCTGTCTCGTTGCTCTTGAACTGTTGCTCTCTGCCATTCGCTCTGAAACCCCTTTCCTAGACGCCTCCTGCTGAGCTGACACTCACTTCCACAGACCTGGCTGGAATCTCTCCTGGTTACCCTCTCGGACAGTGGCTTAGTCCTGTTTTGTGTTTGAAACTCAAATCTCTGTTATCCCTGCAACTGATTCCTCTTCCTATACCACCCTGACAAAAATAACAATCCAGGATAATTATGTTATTATTATAAAGAGAAATGTTGCCATGGTAATGAAATCGAATTATTTTAGTTTAAGTACTGAAATTACACTTAAAATTAAAACTTCAAAACTAATATTTGAACTAAAATTAAAATTAAAACTGAAAATAATAAAATAAAAATAAAAGCTAATTCAAAATATTAATAAATACTATAATGGTACATAAATAATACTAAACTAACACTGTTCAAATTGTCTTATATCAAATATCAACAAATGCAAATAAATAAAAAAAAACCTCTAATACAGACTAATTGCTAATGCTATACTGATATTTAAGCTATGTGAAGTGATTCTGGACCAATGGTCCAACCTAACACAACAGAAACCAAGTGACAGACAAAAAATACTGCTGCAACTGTTGTAATAAAACTGTTGTTGCTGCAATAGCTGCAACTGGTTATAACTCAAATTAACATTGAAGAGAATTTCCAGCTGACACTGAATGAGCCTGTAAGACATGAGATAATGAAACCTGCCCTGTGCATTGGCGCTCTTTGCTCCGCGGTGCTGCAGTAGGGGCTGTCCAGCGAGTTGAAGCGCTCTCGGAGGGGCAGCTGGTAGACGGTGGAATGAAAAACCTCCGGAGGGAGAGAGTTACTAGGAAGAACTCACCCTAGACCCTATGCAGTTTTTTTTTTTTTAAACTGTTTTTTTTGTTGTTTTAGGCCACATTCACACTGTTGTTTTTATGGCTTACAACCCATTTTTCAGTTACAAAATTAAAAAAAGAAATAAAGAAAGAAATAAAGAAATATATTTATAAAATAACAATTATTTTTATTATTACCATTACCATCATCATTATTGAATGAAACTGCGGCCTCCACACACGCTGGCTGTCGTAGACCGGGGTGTACATGCTGTGTGCGTGGGACATAGAGGCGTAGGTCGAGGGTGGCCCGTACGGGCCGGGGCCTAATCTGTCTGCAGGAGGAACAGAAGTGTGCTGGTCTGGGTACAGAGGGCCCATTGACGGGGGTAACATGGACTCAGGGACGTTGCTGGAACGATGGAAGCGAGCGTTGCATGACTTGTGAGGAAGAACTGTGGAAAACAGAACCGAGTGAGTGTAATGGAAGATTACATGTCACAGGAGAGCGATTCAGGATGTCACTTACTGGCAGGTTGGTGGTAGGGTGAAAGGTCATATGGTCTCTGGTCCTGAGAGTAGTAAATCTTAGGATGAGCTCTCGTGAGGACAGGCCCGTGTTTGAGGAGACCGCAGTCGTCCTCTGTACACAACCCCGAAGCTATCGCAGACGACTGGCTTTGACTGATGGGATTTCTCAAAGATAAATAAGAAATAATACGAATTTACATAAGAATCAAAAGTGGGCAAAGAGATTCTTACAAAGAAATGGCATATTCATATTTCTCATTTTTCAAAAAAATAAGACTATCAGTTGACTTAATTTTTTAAAATAAAGAATGGTTATGAATATTTATTTATTTATCAAATAAATAATAAAATAATACTTTTAATTCATCTTTACTCTTTTACTGTTGCAAAAAACACTAATAAACAACAATACAATCACTTTTTTTTATGGACTTAATCTTACATGAGCAAAGTTGTTTTTACCGCTGACCTACATATTAGTCTTCTGCATCCATCACTTAGCTTCATGGCGAATTCACTTTTGTTGAAGTTTAATAATAATGAATTAAGTTTTATATTTTCTAAAGAGAATGTGA